CCCCTCCCCGATTCTTTAACAAAAATTAAAGAATCATAATAAAAAATAAAGAAGCATAAAAAATGAAAAAACAAAACAATTTTTTTTAAGTCCCTGCCCTCAGCATACACACGCAGATATGCGTCGTGTGCGCCTATGTGCGAAAACGACTATTGTGCCACACATGTTACATATCGCCGCAAACGTCGGAGAGCAATAATTTTAGGGCCATTCATCACGGATAACACTAAACTGATGAGCATAAGAAAGTGTTTTAAGCGTCGCCTATGGGCGTTTTTTGCGATTTTGCGGTCACACGCAATTTTAAGACTTGACATGTTTGGTGTCTATTTACCCGACGTGATCCCGACTTTTATGTTTTACCAGAAATATGGGTAAGAATAAATGTTTTATAACATAACGTAGATAAACCTTGTTTTTGTTTTTTTTACATTTATGGTACTTTTTTCATTATATAGTAAAAAATAACCCCCCTCCAGTGGTGATAATATACCTCCAAAAGAAAGCTCTATCTGTCCCCAAAAAATGTTAACATAAATTGCAAGGCTATAGTCCGGTTATGCTGACTGGTGAAATTTTTGACTGACTGGTGAGACACCATCAACTTTTTCAAGCCCTGGCTATAGAGGACTACAATTCCCAGCAATACCATTATACAGCAATGCAGAACAGCATCAGCTATACAGGACTACAAATCCCAGCAATACAAAATAATATGAAGCAACATACTCTGTTGCTCTGGGTTCTCCGCCTGATGTCTCCAGGCTCTCAGGAGGGTTGTGCGGGCTCTCACCAGGGGTCCAGAGAGTTTCAGGGGTGCGTGTGTGTGCAGCAGAGGTGGCTCCCTAATTAGGCTCTCAGGTGGCCAATGCGGACTGTCAGGTGGTCAGTGCGGGCTCTCTGCTGGTCAGTGTGGGATCTGTGGTGGCCAGTGGGGGCTCCCTAATAATTAGTGGTGGCTCTGTGGTAGCTCCCTGGTGGGTAGTGGGGGCTCCACTGTGGCCAGTGGGGGCTCCCTGGTGGTTAGTGGGGGCTCCGTGGTTGCCCGTGGAGTCTCCCTGGTGTTTAGTGAGGGATCCCTCGTGGTTAGTGGGAGATCCCTGGTGTAGAGTGACCATTCATCTAGGAGCTGCAGCTAACAATTATTTTCAAAATCGATTAGTTAGCCATGCTTCATCAGCTTCTTCAGGGGGGTCCTAGGTGACATTAGGGGTCTTGGAGACCCCTGATGTCTCCATAAAGAGGACCTGTCACATATTTTGCTATCACATAAGGGGGTTTTCTAACCCCCTATGTGATAGCAATAAAGTTTCCCCCCCAAAAATGTAAAGTTACAAATAAAAAAGAATTACATTTTTTTTAAAGTCCCCCCATACATACACGCATGCAAACAGGCATCGGGTGCGCATACGTGTGAAAACGACGATTTTGCCCATTACGCCGCACATGTTACATATCATCGCGAACGTCGGAATGAGAGCAATAATTGTAGGGCTATCAATCACTGATAACACTAAACTGATGAGCGGTAAAAGCTTTTAAAGCGTCACCTATGGTCAATTTTGGGCATGGTATTTTTTTGCGATTTTTCGGGTGTGCGCAATTTTAAAGCATGACATGTTTGGTGTCTATTTACCCGAAGTACATTTTACCAAAAATATGGGTGATAAATGGGTGTTGTTACTGGGGGTGTGGCCACGAAAGGGTGTGGTCACTGAGGGGTGTGGTCACTGAGGGGTGTGGTCACTGAGGGGCGCTGTAAAGCTTTCTCGCACAGGGCGCCTAAAGGCCTAAGTCCGGCCCTGACTGTGTTAATTAGCTTTGGAGTGTTTTCCAGGTCGAGGGCTGTGGCAAAGTCCCAGCAATATTACACTGTCTCTAAAGACAATAGTTATAACCCTGTCTCTAAAGGCCGAGCACTGGGAGCTACCTCAAGACTAGGACCATTGGACACCATGTAATTCCCAGTTTCCTTGGTTTAACGGGAAAAGAGACTTTCTGGAAGGTCTATCATTGCACATGGAAGTTATACTTTGCTTGGTGTAAGAGCAATTGTAATTTTCATTCCCAGAAAGTTTTCTGTGAGACCAATCCTGGATTTTCTGCAATCAGGCCTGGATCAAAGTTCTAGATTTCTGCCCTGGTGGTGTTGTTCCAAAGACTGCTAGATTTCCATTCCTTAAGTAAGACATTCATACAGGTTATCTCTACGGCTGCAGCTAACAATTTTTTGCATGTAGTTAGCTGCTTATTAAAGGAGAACTATAGGGTCAGGGCTTCCCCATACTTCTCCTAAGGGTAACAGGAGGACACAAACTAGCATCCTCCCATCACCCTAAGCTCAGTATACCGTGAGCTACAGCTTGCGGTATACTGAGACGCCGTAGCCGAGGCGGATCCCAACATTACTGTCGAGATCCACCCAGTTTTTCCCGTTGTCATTACTTCTTCAAGACAAGTGTCAGATCTGGTGGCCTTATCTTGTAAAGTATGCTTGGCCATTTAGGCCTGCAGGCTTATAGATCTGGTTCCACCCTTTACTGTCAGTACATACCAGGGGCTGACTGGCAACTTTTAGCCCAGGGGGCAAGTACAACCCAGAGGCCCATGGTGCAGCAACTTGGCCCCCTCCCCGATTCTTTAACAAAAATTAAAGAATCATAATAAAAAATAAAGAAGCATAAAAAATGAAAAAACAAAACAATTTTTTTTAAGTCCCTGCCCTCAGCATACACACGCAGATATGCGTCGTGTGCGCCTATGTGCGAAAACGACTATTGTGCCACACATGTTACATATCGCCGCAAACGTCGGAGAGCAATAATTTTAGGGCCATTCATCACGGATAACACTAAACTGATGAGCATAAGAAAGTGTTTTAAGCGTCGCCTATGGGCGTTTTTTGCGATTTTGCGGTCACACGCAATTTTAAGACTTGACATGTTTGGTGTCTATTTACCCGACGTGATCCCGACTTTTATGTTTTACCAGAAATATGGGTAAGAATAAATGTTTTATAACATAACGTAGATAAACCTTGTTTTTGTTTTTTTTACATTTATGGTACTTTTTTCATTATATAGTAAAAAATAACCCCCCTCCAGTGGTGATAATATACCTCCAAAAGAAAGCTCTATCTGTCCCCAAAAAATGTTAACATAAATTGCAAGGCTATAGTCCGGTTATGCTGACTGGTGAAATTTTTGACTGACTGGTGAGACACCATCAACTTTTTCAAGCCCTGGCTATAGAGGACTACAATTCCCAGCAATACCATTATACAGCAATGCAGAACAGCATCAGCTATACAGGACTACAAATCCCAGCAATACAAAATAATATGAAGCAACATACTCTGTTGCTCTGGGTTCTCCGCCTGATGTCTCCAGGCTCTCAGGAGGGTTGTGCGGGCTCTCACCAGGGGTCCAGAGAGTTTCACAGGTGCATGTGGGTGCAGCAGAGGTGGCTCCCTAATTAGGCTCTCAGGTGGCCAATGCGGACTGTCAGGTGGTCAGTGCGGGCTCTCTGCTGGTCAGTGTGGGATCTGTGGTGGCCAGGGGGGGCTCGCTAATAATTAGTGGTGGCTCTGTGGTAGTTCCCTGGTGGGTAGTGGGGGCTCCACTGTGGCCAGTGGGGGCTCCCTGGTGGTTAGTGGGGGCTCCGTGGTTGCCAGTGGAGGCTCCCTGGTGTTTAGTGAGGGATCCCTCGTGGTTAGTGGGAGATCCCTGGTGTAGAGTGACCATTCATCTAGGAGCTGCAGCTAACAATTATTTTCAAAATCGATTAGTTAGCCGATTATTACGTTCAATTAACCGGTTAACCAGGATAAAAACAAATGGCTCCAGTGATGGACTACTAGTTTGTATTGAGATTGTAGTCCATCACAGGAGCAAGCATGGAGCGGTGGAAACAAGAAAAAAAAAAGTGTGGTGTGCAATATAGTTAAATGGAAAGTGTAAAATTATACAGCAATCAATGCAAAATGGCACCGGCTATAGAGGACTACAAATCCCAGCAATACATTTTACAGCACAATGCAGAATACCAACAGCTATAGAGGACTACAAAGCCCAGCAATAGCACATTATAGCTGGTGGTATTCTGCATTGCGCTGTATAATGTATTGCTGGGTTTTGTTGTACTCCTCTATAGCTGGTGGAATTCCGCATTGCGCTGTGTAATGTATTATTGCTGGGATTTGTAGTCCTCTATACAGCGCAATGCACAATACCACCAGCTATATAGGAGTACAACAAATCCCAGCAATACATTATACATACATTGTATAATGTATTGCTGGGATTTGTAGTCCTGATGGTATAATATACAGCACAATGTAACATCAGCTATAGAGGACTACCTGGTCCTCTGCATCTTCTGATACCAGCTTTGTTTATAAGGTCCTTCAGGCTCTTTGAGGCTCTAAAGAGAATGTGATTTTTTATACAAAATCTATACCTCTTTTCTAAGGCATGTAGGGATTAGGAAGGGTCATACCAGACTGGAACTGTTTGTTTTTTTTGTTTGTTTGGTTTTTTTTGCTAGTGTCCAAATCCTTCTGTAGGCAGCAGTATAACCCAACAGTTATTGAATGCCCGTGTCCCTCAATGAATGAATGACAAGAAATAGAGTTTACAGTATAAGCAAAAATCCCATTGTTTTCTGCCTCTGATTGCTGTTAGCCCCTCCCCCCCTCCCCTCTTCCAAAAAGACAAACCATTAGTTGTCTCCCCCTCCCTGCTCCATAAGCACCAACAGGCACATTTGTTTAATAGAAAAGTTTACCGTTAGGTGGCAATCTTTTGTTATCAAGATGATTCAGTGGCTATATTGTTTGTGAAGGTCCAGCCACATTTAGACATCTGCAGGCAGGTTAATTGTTTCATTTTACAATGATTCTTCTGCTACATCGAATTTCATTTTTCGAGAAACACTTTGAAAAATTTACATTTACAGCAAGGTAAAGGTTCCTTATTTTACTTAATTGTATTACTTCCCAGAGTCCCAAGAACGAGGAGATGAGCTGTCAGATTCTGGGCTTGATATCCTGAGACAAGCTGCTGCATATTCTAAGGTAAATTTCATAAAATGTAGCAATGTAATGAGTAAAGAAAAATGCCATTTAAAACCAGACATGCATCAGAACTTGGGATATTTATTTGCTTTTATTGCACTGTTTGCACAACCAGTTGAGCTTAAAATGCCAGGTATTTTACTGCCATGTTGACATCTACAATAATTCAGAAAGAACATGTAACAGATTTTGGATAGAATTACCTATATACTGTAATGGCTCTTGACATTTCTAACAAAGATAACATTTTTGTGTGTCTTCAAAAAGCAGTGGTGGTAAAAACTCCCTATGGCACTGCTGTCTGTGTAGAGGCCATATTTTTGAATAATATAATCCTCTATATGTGTACCAAGTTTAAGAAATATAATCATAATTGTCGAAGTAATCCTGTTGCTATTTTTAAAAACTGAAACCAGTAGCTCCCTGCGAAGCAAACCATTAATGTGGATTTTAAAAACCACCTGTTTAAACTCCACTGTGCTGAAGAGAGAAGCTTGCTAAAAATATTCAGCATCTGGCACACTTCCTGGTATTGCAAATTCCTGGTATCCTACTGCACTCTTTGATTCCTCCTACCACTACAGGTGGATAGGGATATGGAGTGCAGTGAAGGCATATTGGCATTTGATCTAGGAGATATGTTGCCTGCACACCATTCTGCTTCGGAGTGTCATCTTTATTTGTATTGCTTTAGCATGACAATGTGAATGCAATGTTTCGGAGCCTGACTGGGCCACTTCATCAGGCAAAGTGTTTGACGAAGGAGTCCTGTGAGGCTCCGAAACATTGCATTCACATGTCATGCTAAAGGAATACGAATAAAGATGACATTCTGAAGCAGAATGGTCTGCGGACAACATATCTCCTAGATTGTATACTGTAGTGCCATCCACCAGTTGTTCCAGCAACCATTGGATTCTAGGGCATAATGGTACGGTGTGCGAAGGGGATATTACAAAGACATATTTTGGCATTTGACACTCTTAGACGTGCCAAGTGTAGAAGATCTTTCGGCAAGATTCTTTCTCTACACTGTTCGGAAGTTTCAAAAATTACATTCACTTTAATCAAGCTATTACCAAGTAAACTATAGGAATTGCATAAGATACATTTACCTGTAGTATGTTTTGGTGTATTAAATAGTGACACTTCATGAATGTATATACTGTGTCATCCTTCAAGAAGTACTCCTCAAAGCTGATTACTGCTTAAGGCGGTATGTGCTGGAAATGCACCAGCGAACTGTTGGCATTCCCCACTGCCTCTGATTTTCTGGCCTTTGCCTGTTCTGCATTATTTGAACTGAAGTAGTTGGTTCTGTAGACATCTAAAGGGACTGCTGCTGCAAATCGAAAATACCACTGGGAATTGAAGCCTGCAGGCTTTCTCTGTAGCATTTCCTGCTAAGCATATAACAGAAGTAATTGTAGCTTAGGAATTATGCTCACCTCCCAAAATGCTGCTAGAGTTTTCTATTAAGTCTATAAAGATTTAACACTGGGTACTGCATAAAACAAAGACTTACCTCTTTTGCGTTTACCAACACTGACTAGACCCTTTTTAGGTCTCAGAAACAAAGATTTAATCAAACGTACATGCATGTGGGTCTTTCAACAAAGTTAATTATATGCAGTTCTATTTACTTAGAGGAAATTAACATTATTGTACAGCATATGATGTAACATAGTAACATAGTGAATATATTGGGTCTTTTCATTGTCTGGCTTTATTTGTAGAGCAAATACATTTGTATACATTTTGTGTAAGCATACCATTCATTGTGACTGTGCTAGTAGTGTGGAGAAGATGTTTCTATTGATCTTTCCCAGACCACACTGCAGACAAATATGGAGTAATCAATCAAAGGCTGGAATGCCATTATTTCCTTTTCAAGTATATTTGTTAACAGATCTGTTTTTTTTTCCAGGTATCCCAAAGAAGCACCCGATTAGGTAAAGCATACCATAAGAAACTTTAAAATGTTAATTTCTTTCTATATTCATGATAAAAAACATCAAATCAATGCCTATTCCAACAATGACCTATTGCTAAATATTTTTATCCATAAGATTTTCTTTGCAAGTAAAAAGATGAACCAGTTATTTGCTACATTTGCGAACAATGTTATATTATAACACAATTTCCAGCAAGTTAGAAAATGCTACTAGTAATACTGTATATTTCTCTGAATTTCTTTTCAACTATACGGTTGTCAGACATAAATGTTGTTTCCATTTTGATATACTGTATATCTATTTGTAAGATACTTTCATCTTGCCCATTAAGGGAAAACTAACAGTGTTTGTGTAAAGCCAACCCCCCCAACCACCTCTTCAGCACTCTTTCACTGCTCCTACCTCTGTTGTAGCTGCCACCAAAATACCTATGGTCAGCCAGTATCAGAGCTCAAATTGAGTGGTAACATCACTCTTTCCAACTTTTGACAGTACTTGGGTCAAGTGATTGATTGCTAGGCTCAAGCATGACATCTTGGAGAAAAGGTAAATATAAGACAGTGTGGGTGCTCTCCACAATCTGTCACTTTGCCCAAAATGGCCAAAGTGACAGTATCTCTTTAAATACAACACAATTTTTCTTAAAAAGCCACTGTTGCCAAAATATTGTATTCTGATAATGATGATGTGGGTTTTACATGTAATGATAGTATACAGTATATTCATTTTATTTTAACCACTTGAACTCCAGCAACTGTATACCTTGAATGCACTTGAGTGTATGTGTGTGCCAGTAAGAATGTAGTAGAAACATTAGGTTGAACAATCCTTCAGTGTCAGGGGCTGGATGTGATACATATATAATAATAGGCTGGAGAAAGTGTGGAGTTGCTATAAGAAATGAATAAATAAAAACAAGACATTCCTTTAAAGCAAATAATTAATTACCAGTCAACCAGAGACAAGCTTGCTGAAAGCTCTTCAAAATACAACGAATGTCTGGATGTCAGGTGCCTTGTGCCTCTGTGGTTCCTTATACCAGTCCCTATGCCAGTATTGTTTCCTGTAATGGAGATCAGGCAACCCAGAAGTGCTGGATGCAGAACATTTTTTTTATCAGAGAGGGAGTCTTTTATTTAAGTATACTAAAATAACTTCATAGTCTCTTTAAGAGCAGGTTCTTGCAGTATGCCCATCCCCATTTCATTGGGGTATGGAAACAGTTGTAACCAGGGTTGGCCATGTTTTTAGAAATCACAAGATGTTTATAAACAAGGGCGTACTAAGCGTACTATTGATGTAAGTGACACCAATGAAAGTTGACAGGCACAGCTGGCTCATATACTATTAGTTATGGACCACCACTATTGAAATGGAAACAGCCATATTTTTATCCGTATTACAAGATTAAAGCTTCCGCCCCCTCTTTTTCTTTTTCAGCACCTGCAATTTCCCGGCTCATGTCTAGAATGAAGCAATAAAAGTAAAGTCTCTGGGGTAAAAAACAAGAAGCAGCCATTGCCATACGTGTCTCTTTGTTTTTAAAAAAGAAGAACCACATTGTGTTACAGTACATTGACTTTGTAAAGTAACTTGATTTTTTTGTTTTGTTTTGTTTAAAACATTTCAAATCTAGCCAAAATCTCTCAACAGTTATCCTTGCTCCAGGGCTTGTGTGCTAGATACACATGGTGGTGATCTAAGAAAACATGCTTGTTAGCAATAAAGTGTTTGTTTCTTGGGGTGACATGTATCTCATGTTCTATAGCCAAGAAATCTTAAAAGAACAGTACCTCTTAAAGTGAAGAATGTTGCTTGTGTCATTTTGCTAAGCCGGATATATATGTGAAATAACAGACATATGCTTTGGAATTTTAATGATTTCCTTTCTTCGCATAGCAGGACTCATGTATTTGTTTACATTAGCCTTGGCTATGTGACCACCATTTTGTGCTAGTCAGTACACTTAAAGGCAGCCAGTAAAAAGGTCAAGATCAACATTTTTATTTGTTTAAAGGGAGGAGTAAATATATAGAAATATTAACAATTCAAAGCAAAAATTATACAGTCTGTAAATAAACGTGTGTAAATGTTCCTTTCTTTTAAATAGAGTCAGCCAACAAGATAGCTATCACAGTGTGTGTGTGTGAAAATGGCATTTAAAGGAGAACCAAGGGCTGTACCTTTGTTAACATTTTTAGTTTCCTAACGATACAGGAGTACATTTTGCAATGTACTCCTGTAATCAAAAATCCACCATAAGCTTGTAATTCATTGCAATATACTGTGGACCGGGCTAAGCTCAGAGCTCCATCCCTCCCCTTCCCCTCCACGTTGCTGTCTCCAGACATGCATATCGGCAATACCACAGGCAGTTCAGCTCTCCTAAACTGCGTTGCTGCACTTTCTTCACAGTTTTTTCAGAGCTGTATATAAGAAAAGACAAATTAATACATTGCACTTACTTTCAGCTTTCGTTTTGCACAGGTAATTCATGGGCATCTCCTTTAAGTATCTGGAAACCTACCCCTCCCGCCTTGCTAGGAAAGTATACAAAATGTATATTTTAATACATGATGATGTGATCAGCAATAGCACAGTGATAAAAGTTCTTCATTAATTATCTTGAACTTTTTTTTGCATCTTTTAATACATAAGCTTCTTTTCCTTTGTAGCCTTTCCTTGCTTTTGAATTTTGTGTTTATATATATTGACAAGCATTCATTTTTATTGTTTGGGATTAAGACACACTTTAAACTTTAGCAGAACTCTGTGCAGAGAAAATAGTGGTGGCTTTCACATCTAGGCAACGGAAATAAACAATGCTGCTTAAACCAATTTTTGAAAGCTAAAAATAGCAAGTAAATGTTGGTAGTATAGTTAGTTGAGTAAAGACCTCTAAGTTACTTGAAGTTTAAAAACTCTTTTAAGCTATTCAAATTACTATTGTAATAGTTCAGTTCCATTGATGACAGACTGCACAGAATTTGTTAAGCCATTAAGTAGAGAGATGCTAACAATAGAATTAAAGCTGAACTCCAGGGTCCCTTAAAAAGCACATCTGATGAGTCACATAATGCAGCTCTAAAATTCAAAAAATATTTATTTCTGGGATTGTATTGCAAAGAGGCACAGAGCTGCTGCTTTTGATGTCATAGAAATTTCCTGGACTACTTGTCCCAACATCCTTGCAGCTATCTAGTCATGTGGGTTTACATGTTCATTTCCTTGTGGAATTATGAACAGCAACAATGCCCATTATACATGTAACTACCAAGACTCCTTAAATCAATCAAATACATAGGCAAATGTTTTAATGGGTGGGACAATCATAGTAATCTGGTTTGGCTCTACCCACCAGTAACTTGGAATGTATGACCAAAAATAAGCTGCTCCACACAGGCAACAATGGGGAGGATAGCAGAGCAGAATGTAAAAGGTCATGAGGGTAGCAGGGTACAATCCACACCACCAGAAAAACAGGGCAATTTCAGCTCCATGTTTTTGATTTAAAGTAAAAGTATACTTATGCAAAAAGATACACTAACCCTCCCCTTACTGGACCTCCAGGCTAAACTATCCTATAAAGTCTTCACCCAGCTGCTTACGTAGCTCAGGAGGACAGCTGTAGCCTTTTTCAATGTCTATATCCTCTAGCCAAAATCTTATTCACTTATTTTCCAACTGCACTGTGAGCATTAATAGATTTGTATAGAGCCTTCCCCCAAGCATCTCCAGTTTCTCTCAGTAGATGGCCTGATCCAAGACGAGATCTTACTGTGTTGGCATTGCCAGCACCAATTAGGTTTTTGCCCAAAGGATGTAAAAATCAGAGCAAAGTGTGGCCGTTCTGAGATAAGCAGCTGATTTTGGGAGCTTGATAAAATAGTTTTAACTTAAGAGTCCTTTAAAGATAATACAGCATTTTATCAAGTGAACTTCATCTGTCATCATTACATGGAATTTTAATTGGCGGGTTTTCTATTTTTATGTGGATTTCAGCTTAAAATTTTAAGGTATTTCAAACATACTTTGCCAATTACACACATCTGTGGTACGTATTGGGAATGTTTTAGATTCAGGCTGAAAATAGAATATATTTAGATTTACACAAACATTTTTCACTTCCTAAAACTATGGCTATGGCAATACGAACAATTTTGTATTGTTTTTTTTAATTGTCTGTTCTTTCTGTATAATTATATATTGTATATGTACGTTTTCTGAGCCATTTCATTGCTTGTATTAGAGCTGTTTCTATATAGTCATCATGATTGTGTGTTCCCCTTGACTTTCTTGAATTTTGAGTTACAAGTATGTGAAAACTAATGGCATAATAAAGTATCCATCACAACCATCTGTCACAAAATACTGAAAATAAACACATTTAAAACATTTTTGTATCTCTCCATGGATTGCATTTCAACAAAATTGGTATATAAAATGGATAATAAATTGGGAACAATATGGAATTTGTGAGGCCGGAGGGGGTGCTTAGGCCAGAAATATTTCATTCAGGATTTATTGCTAGGCAGAGCAATTCCTCCATAAGATGAAGTGATAATCTTGTCTCACTATTCCTTGCACCGAGTAGTTACTGTAAGGGCCTTTTGATTTTGTTAACTACTATTATTGCAGAATATTACCTAGTACATTGGAATGTTTCATTATTCAGGTTCAGAGATGTCTAAATCCTAGGAAATTATTACTTTTTCTATGAAAAAATGCTCAAGAGTATGGATGCTAACATTAAAATTAGGTTTGGTAATAGTTGACATTAATCTCAAATATTAAGACTAGCCTGTAATTAAAGAAAAATGGGTAGTGACATTCCTGACTTCCTAAAAGTTCTATTTCAGTGGTAGTTATTTTGACCTACTAGCTTGAGTATTTTTAGTCACTAACACGTAATAGGTATGGAGATCAGGTGAAAGGGGATTTCAGAGACTAAAGGGGTGATTTACTAACCTAAACACATGCACCCACTAGGTGCGTGTGATTTTCACACAGCAAAACGTATTTATCAACCAAAAAGTCTCTAAAAGCATATTTCCACTAATGCCATATATGGAAAAATCATGCACATGATGCATATATAATGCTGCTTCACAGTTTAGACAAAAATGGTTAGCTCATGCATTTACATTCCTGCATTCATCAACGCAAGCAACACAACATAGAGCTAATTTACACAACATCACCTTGCAATTCATGCAGGGCTTTGCACAACACACCTGCTGGGTGTGTACACACTACAAAGGTGTTTAGATTCCACCCATAGATCATGCTGGGAGGGAACACACTACAGAGGTGTATACATGTTCGTGGTGTGTTTATAAGGTTTGTAAATCAACCCCTAAGAGTCGCTGACAAAAGAGGTTACATGTAAGACCGGGACCAGCAAGTGTATACAAGTGAAAATGTTTAATGATACAAAAGTAGTAGAAAAACACCATCAAAAAGCTTTGATTATTAAAATGACAACATTGTCTATATCTTTCATTCCTTCATTCAAACGGATGGGCCCCACACATACACTGAGCAGCTATTCTGAAGACGGGACTTCAAGTGAATTTGATGCAAATAAATACATAGTTTCCATCACGGAAAAAGGAAAAACAAGAAAAACAGTCCTCTGAAGCAAGAAAAAAAGAGGGAAAAAGCCCGCTAGTTGCCAGAAAATTAGATGTACACCTATTGCACATATCCTATATATTTCAGAGGGAACTTCCCCAAATTCCTTGGTAATTATTCATAGTTATTCAAATCATGGAAATAAACTGGTCAAATGGTTCGATCTTGTTGTTTTCTTATTTCCGATTAACGCTGGGGAATTGGAGGGTTAACAGACGGAGTCCATGTAGAATTGTCCATGTTATTTGTGTAGCAGACATTTGCAATGCATCACAGACCCGAAGAAATGACAGGGGGCAGCCGCCGCAATATGAGTTCCTTTAAACAGTGATGGGCACGGCACGGGGGAAACACCTCCTATGTAATCAAGTGAGTGTTCCTATGAACCATCAAATGGATCTATTCACATTTTAGGGTGTCTCAACCCCGAGCTGATCTCCAATTTTCGGGTCCTTTGTATTAGAGCGGTGGATGAATGTCTCAGTTGATCCAGTATGTGTACTTAGTCTGTACGTTCCCCCATTTGTTATATCCACATTGAATGAATGTCCATTGTCAAGCCGTCATGTGTGCAGTCATCCTGTCTCGCAAAGCAAACATACGTGTTGACGCGTTTCGCCCCGCCCACCGGGGCTTCAACAGAACAGATCATGTAGATCAGGGCAGTCAGGGAAGACGCTTGTGCACACTTGTTCAGTGACATAGCGTTCAGTTGTAGATTCATTAAAACTAAATAAATAAACTGAGGATGAAAAAAAATGACTTTTTTTGTTGTATGTAAATTAAGTGACTTTCTTTGTTGTATGTAAATCAGCTCTAGCTAAAGTACATAGTCCTCTTCCCCAGGCAGCAGTCTGCAGATAAGCGGTTTCCCTGTAGTAGTCTGACACACCCTCTGCTGAGCCTGTGGTTTTACCAGACTCAGTGTTACCAAGCTGCACTAAGGATGGACTCCGGCCTCAGTACCACTGCCCAAAGGGCTTCCTTCAGTGCCGTTTGAGGCAGCCGCTTCAGCTGGCCCTGCTTTGCCCCCTGCTGAGTTAGAGGCGCACCGCCTTTCCAGAAAAGATCATGCCTGCTTATTGCAGAACTTTAGCTGTGACTATAGAGGTGTGTGAGACAGCCGCAGATAGACCACTGCTTCCACATAGAGAAACACAGTATTATTTGTAGAATGCTGTCTCAGCTACTGAACTTTGAACTTTCACTTGAGATGATTTCCATGCAAAATTAGTAAGTCAGCCTTCTTGCT